AACTTACCCTGCAGAGAGTTAAATAGCTTGAACGCTATAAAGCAAAGAAAGTAATCAAAGAATTACACAACTGGATATTGCCATAGGAAGGGATAAATAATATTATAACCAAATTAATAGATTTGTGTGAGACAGAATTTTTGATCTCACATTAGTTGCGAGGAAAAACCATTTTACCTTGTAAAAACTTGAACATCTTTTAAAGTACAATTAATTTTACCTATCTTAGCCAGTAACTTTTGGAAATTTTTTATATAAACTTTGCTAGTCTGGATGCTGGAAACATCTATTATAGGTTTCTGAGATCTTGATGTAGCCTTAATACTAAATTTATGAAATCTTCAGCAAAATTTATTTTATAAAAATGTTAATAAGAATTGATAAAATATTTTTTCAAATCGTCAAAAAATGATTGAATTTCTTATATTTTTAATTAGTAAAGTTCTAGAAATCTAGAAACACTAAATTTCATAGGAGTAATCTTCAAAACATAAGCTAAATACTTATTGTGCAATTATTATGTACGTTGTTCTATAACTAATACATTTTGAGAATTCTTTTGTTCAGCCAGGCACTCTATACTTGGTTGTTCAATGGTGTAAGATAGCATGCTAAATATGCTAACAATTGGCATGATAGACATACTATATGAAACTAGTTCACAGATCTTTCTGAATAGATACTATTAAATGATAATTGTTAAATAAGGGATAATATTCTTTATTCTTATATATTGAGGATAGTGATTATCAATAGCTGACAATCTTTATAATAATTTTTAGTTTTTGCACATTTTTTAATTATTAAGCATTCTTTAAAATATTATCATCCAGAAAACAGTAAAAATTAAGTCACAATACACGTTGTCGTGAATTATTGACCAAAACAGGGTACTTGCGTAGGATACACCGATAATTCACATAATTTTTTTATCATTTCGATGATCTATTTATTTTATATCTTGAATACGAAGTAAAAAATATCATATTAACATTTTGAGTTTTGATATCAAAAGTTCTTATGAAACGATCACCGAACATAATTTATTATTATTAATAATGAATTAAATAATTATTTTTTTTTAGAATTTATCATTCAACCAATTCAGTAGATTTCATCCTGTAAAAAATGACATCCAGAATATTTCCGTGATCATGTTTATCACTCCGTAAATGTTCAGTTTATTTTATAAAAGCAGCACAATTAAGTAAGCAATCCGGATTTTTTCCATGATGTCATTTATATTAACTTGTAAATATGCAATTAAAATGGAATGTGAGAATAAGATTTTATAGTTCTGGAATATTATTGAGTGATAATCGTTTCCACATTTTCACTTCGTGATACATGTAAATCATTTCCGATTTATATGTTCGTTTCCCGTGATTTATAATTTACTATTTTACACTAATATAAGGGTAAAATTGTTAATTACTGATCCTTTTGTGATTGGCAGTAAAATTAAAGGTCCTTAACTGTCCGGTCTGATTCTGGGACTGGAAATCCTACCTTAGGACCAGACTTAAATCCTGAAAAATTGATCCGAGGCTTTTTTTAAACAAAAAATATTGTAATATTACGAGGTAGCTTTTTGGTAAACCTCGATTATTTTACTTTTATGACCGAGTCTGAGTTAACTTTTTGGCTACACTCGTCGATTAATTGCAAGCTTTTATATACAATTCTGTGAATTATTTACAAAATTATTTACAATTATCCAGCTTACTGCTTCTTTCTTGTACCTAGAAGGTTTCAGTGAATCAGTAAGCATGATTTATGACACAAATAACAACGTATTATAATAATGCAATTATAAAATTCCTATTTAATTTTTGCTTTTCTTTGGCTGATTAAAGCCAGCCGTACGTTTATAACAATTACTGTAACACGATACAATATGTGGTGATGATAACTGTTGACGCTTAATACTTTTTCCAATTAGTCTTAAAACCTTACGTTTACACTTAAACAATTAAGCACGTCTACAAAAAGTTAAACAAAAATGTTTATGCGTAACAAAAACCAAAAATCAAACCTTTGCTTTATACCAAAACAAAATACTCAACACCCCAAATTCTATACCATTCGGATGACCAAATAGATAATTAAATCCTATTGTTTAATTCCTGACCACAAAAGTGTTTTATTAAACAAAAAAGAATTAATTATTTATTGTATGTATAAATATTTTTTCTACATTTATTTATTATTTATTATGAATAGATTGGTAAACGGATGGATGGATGAAGAATTCAATAAAAAGTGTAGTTAGTAATAGTTGATTATTTGGCGTATGAAAAATCCAAATATTGATGACAATTTTTAAAACTAAAAAAAAAATTATCATCGGTTATATGAAGATCTTTTATAACTCCGGTCCTAAATAGAATATTGGGTAAAATCCAATTTTACGAGAACATCTAGTAATAATACTAATAGGGACCTGCAAACCATATAGATAAGTTACATACAAAAAATCACGGTTTGATATAGGGTTTGACCCACGCTGTGATTGGCTTATTGTAGAGAATCTTTCCAAATTTGGTAATTTTCACCAACATTGCATTTTCTAAATAGTAAAATTTTTAAGTCTATTTACTATAAGATTTGATCCAGCTGCAGCAGTAATATACTTGCCATCCATACTCAAATCCTTAAAAATTCCATCCTATCCCATGCCCATTCCATCCAACTCCAACCCAATCCTATATCCCATCCCATGTCCCATATTCCATAGAATTAACAAAAAGTATTATATATTTATTAATAAAAAATTTATCATTTATTGCAAAACCATAAAAACAATTAAAAGGAAAATTTGATTCTTTAATAATTTTTATTATTACACAAATAATGATCAAATAAAAATTTACTTAAAAAATTAATTACTTAAAGTCAAATTTTTGGAATTACACACATCTTTAAGATTATATTGGCAATCTCGAAATATAACAGATGATTAGACAAGGTGATATGTTTTGGAGGTTCATAACCACTGCATAAAGTTTTTGCAAAATAACAGAAGAAAGGTGAATAAAAGGAATTCCACACAAAAAAGCAAACCATTTCTTGATTTGCTCTTGAAATTTTGGTGCATCTATTATATTACTGTCAAAATAAGAATGAAGATCCATATTATTTCCAATGCTTCCTCTTTACCTTTTATTTACAGATTCTATATATCATCTGATTTAATTAATCTTAAAATATTTTACTTTTACTTATATATTAACCAATGAGCATTTCAGAGCTAAATACTCTTTCAAGTCAGAAGGTTTATCGCACTTCCATGACTTGAAGCAAAATTTACTTTGTGCTGACAGGTGAGAATCATGTGAAATTTCTGTTTCATTAAAATAATTCCATACTGGGTCTCTAGATTTAACCTCTTTGTCTAGAATTTCTGGTACTTGTATTAATTTCAGAAATTGATAAATTTTCTATTTCATCGGCCTGTTTATCAAAGTGTAATTTAATAAAAAAAATAATTATTCGCCATTTTCACAAGCGAATCACAACGAACATTAAAAATATTACGTGTAAAAATAATTATTTAATGTGTGACGAAATTCTGATTGGTTAATATGGGACACGGGATATGGGATGGGGATTCTACTGATATCTCATAGTATGAGCAGCAAGCATAAGCAGTAACCTATCTATATAGTTTGTGGGTCCTATACTAATACTAATATAAGTTTCCAGCTCCTGATATTTGCCAATCATCCTTTCATAAAATTTATCTGAATACTCAATCGTCATCAAATAAGAATAATGATATTCGAATATTCAGTCTGTTCACCAGTTTGATGTCGAGTATATACTAATGATGTATGACGAAATGTTTTTGGAATTGAGAAACTATTTCGTCAAATCACTAAAAAATGACGAAAGACTAA